GAAAAAAACAGAGTAGTACTCACATCCCATCTAGCGTCGGGACTATCACTCTTCTTGAACTCTCCCGGAACAGCGACCTCGACCCACTGTGCCTTCTCAGTTGGATCGTTCACCGCCTTCGCAGAAGACAGAATAGCATAGCTGTCGGGCCGCGAGGTGTTATGACGGGATAGACACATTGGCACCCGCGAGGGATTACACTTGAACTCGCAAAGTCTTTCCGTCACGGGGATTTTCGAGACGTGAAGGCATGCATTTTCGACGGCTCTGGCCAGCTCTGCGAACTTCTTGAATACCTCGTCTTCGTGCACGGGTTTGGGATTGGGTGGTGGCGTCATCGTGTCCTCGGGATCGGATGGGAACAGAGCCCACCGGCCTGATTGAATCGTCCCATCATCATTCAACTGCTGCAGGACCGCATCGACATCAATCTCTGGTTGAAGTTCCGGAAGGAGTTGTCTGCGGAAGTCGTCCGCCGCCACCACGGTGACGGACTCATTGAGGTCCAGGCAGACGGCGTCGCGGCATTCTTCGACGTGAGCAGTGCTAGGAACGCTCTGTGCTCGCTTTTGGGCCAAAGGAGTGGGTTTAGACGCGTGAGTAGTGAGGTTGGGGTTGAGAGACTGAGCCATACTGGGTCTGGGTGAGGACTGTCACCGTCGTAGGCGCGTCCAATTTTATAGGGTAGTTCTGAGACTGTTTCCCAAAAGGACCGTTTCATTGTTTGCGAGTGGGGACAATGAAAACAAGAGTGAAACGTTTATGACAGGTAGTAACCTGACTGTGGCGAGGAGACGCGCGCAGCGACCTGGCTTGCATGCTTTCTCACGGTCATGTTCAAACTCTGGCGGCCCCGACCATGGTGCCAAGACGAGGCGAGACCTCATCGAATGCTACAACTTTGTCACCTGCATCCTTGGGATGGATATCCTCCTAGACTGTGAAGAAGATTCACTTGCAGACCCTGAAGACTGAGAACCTAAAGTTATATTTTTACCTTCGTCACCGCGTCTCCAAAGAAGCCCATTCTTTCAGCTGCGTTCGCCGCACGGATCCGCGACGTCACAGGCTGGTCAATATCCCCAGTGACCTTGAAGACCTGGCATCTCCGTCGAGAACATGCTAGGGCGACGAGACGCATCTCCTTCGGAACAGCATCAGCTGCACCAAAAGTCCATGAAACATACGCCACAGAAAGACGGATATCATCGTCGCTCCTCATCTGACAATAGTTCAATCTCTAGAATGATACGCCTGAGGCTGAGGCTGCTAGCTCGCTCGCGCCTGCTCACAGGTGCAAGAACCATTGTTCCTGCCAATCCCCTTTACTTGGTAATTGTCGATAGTAGCGTGCGACGTATGTCCTTTCAATCGATCGAAAACCATGGCGAGCTGGTTGAGTTGTCCTCTGGTGAGTTCGGACATGATATGGGCCGCTGCCGTTATCGCGAGGGTAGACTTCATTCTTGCGTTCTCGCATGATCCAGCAGTTTGAAGGGGCTGGTGTGCTGTCAGGATGGCGACTACAAGATTACAGCTGGCAAATCTGTTAGTCTTTTCGCTGGGCTTCTCATCGCAAAAGGCCTGCTGGTACGTCTCATGCACGGTACCGGTGCACACGAACGTCGCGGACTTCTTCGATTCTCAGAACAGCCTAGCCACTCGGCACCTCACTCGTCTTACCTTTACATAGGTATTTATTGACCTTGGAGCAACACTGAGTGCGTCTTTTCTACTGGTTCCGGTCCGCAATCTCTTACATTACACATTTAGTTAACATTATTGTTCTGTTTGCGAGGACACCTCGCCACGAGATGCACAGCGCGTCGTTCTTATTTGGCCCTGAGGGCGTAATCAACAGTACTGCAGGCTAGGATAGCGGCATTGCCTTCTTATCCGGCTTGTTGGGTGTACAGTAAACGGTGACCGTAAGTAATGTCAGATTGTAGATTCCCTGTCGCCGCTCGTTATCACCAAGGGATACGATACTACTAGTGCACATATCTCAGTGTGAGATATCAATCCCAGCAACTTTTGATTCACTCTACTCTTATTTATGATGACAAATGAAATCAGACGTGCCGCTTACCTTGGTAGGTAGATGCTGTTTGGTTTGTCCGAATTTATACTGTTAACACCGGGCGCTTGAAGCGCCCATGTTCATCGCGATAGGAAACGGCATTATCAGCTGGCTTTTTGACACTGTTCTCGTGCTCCGCTTTGGATCGTTGTAAGGTTTTTCCCAACGTGTTCTTACGATCACTGCCTACGTTGACATGACACCTTCGACGGTGAGAACTTGCCGGGCCCGTCTGGCTCCGCAATCCTGCAGAGTAGACTGGCTCCTACATCATCCTCATGTTCCTTGCAGATCCTCGTGCTGCGCATCAGCAAGCCCGGCGCGCTCTTCGCTGTGGGCCCTCGTTCGCCTCGTGGGGTTCTTCTGGTGCCAGACGAGATACAGGCGAGCTCGCTCACGATCTATGCCCTCAGCAGAGACCACGACCTACCAGACGACGGCTTCTTCTTCGGGCGCGTGAGCATGCAGACGCGCGAGCCGCTCCGTGCGATCTGGTTCACGACGCTTGCAACAGCCGGGCCCGGCTCGTTCTACATGGGCGACGGCTGGCTCGGGTGGTGCGTCAACGCCCGCGGCTGCGCCCTGGGCACGTCTGCGTCACATTCTCGACCCCGAACGCGCTCCCTACCACAGGCACGAACACGAACTATCCGTTGGTGCGCTGCCATTTCCTCTCTCTGCCAGATCGACATTCGCGTGCTAACTTCGGGACCGTCCCACCAAGTCCATCACCGGCGGCGTCCTCCTCCTGGCGCTGCGAGTGTCTCGTTATCTTGAAATCGCAGGGGTGGCTCTGATGTTTGTATCAGAGTGCAGGTACTGTACTTATTTCAGAGTGAGTCAACTCAAAACGATTGGCACCACAAGGTGGGGCTGACCTGTCGCTCGCAGAGGCATGCGACTACCATGGGTCCGGCGCCGAACGTCGACCAGCACGACGACAGGTCGCGGTCGTTGGAGGACGCTAAAACCAACGATGTTCACGAGAAAGAACGCGATGACGGCGCAGCATATGGCAATGCCACAATCCCCGATTATCCCGTTAAGTCCGGAGACGATCTCCTTGCGTCGAGGCTCCAACGAGCTCCAACGCGCATGGATCTGCACGTAACGAGGGAACGCACGCGATACAAGACAAGTCGTTATATTTAGCATGAGACATCGTCACGAGAGAACACCGAGGCGCACAAAAAAAATGGATACACCGCCCGTACAGCCGGATGTGGTACACAATAGATAACGAGTTAACAACATTGAGCACGAAAGGAAAAATGCTAATGGTACATTAAACAACAGATGAAAGGGCAAGTAAACAACAACAAGAGGTGGTGCGAAGAGCCAAAGTGAGGGTGATCATGATCATATGCCAGACAACAAGCCAAAGGCTTGTTAAGTTCATCCCTAGACTGCGGAGGTAAGACGCGCTTGAGAATGTCGCATCTGCCGGCCAAAAATGATTCGGCAACGCGGCAGGCTCATGGCGCAGGCTTGCGGTCGGGCATGGGCGACCGGGAACGCGCGCGCAGTCCGCCCTTGTTCGGACTGTACTGTAGCTGGGGGACGGTGAGCACACCGGCCTTGGTCTCGATGGACTTGGTCTCGACGTCGTCGTCGAAGCGCGTGTAGGCGCCGTACTTGTCTGCAGAGTCGGGCGTCGCCGCCGTGCGCGGTGAGAGCTCGGTGATGTACACCGGGCTAGGGTCGAACTGGTGGCGACCTGGTAGATGGCAAGCTGTCAGCGCGGGTGCCCCTGGCGGGAGCTAGGCTATCAACGGGCTTACTCGTGCGTGCTGAGCGTTTCTTCCACACCAGGAACGCGCCAAGCAGGAGCGCGGCGAGGCCCACGGCGCCGCACACGCTACCTGCGACTATAGCGGCGATGTCCTTGTGGCTCGAGCCGTCGGACGCCAGGTCTCCCGCAGTCGGAGCCGCAGTCGACTCCTCGGTGGCGGCGACTGGAACGAAGTATCTGTCAAGGCCCGATGTCAGCCGGCGGCATCAAGTGCTGAAACAAGCCGAAGGCATACGTGATGTTCGTGAGGTGCAGCACCGGCGCGTTTTGCCCCTCCTCGTTGCCAGGGAGCACTGTGGTGGGGTTCACGATGGGGTCGAAGGCGATGAGCGTGATGGTGAGGGTGTGGGTGCCGTTCTCAAGGAACCACTCGACAAAGGTCTGGCACATGACGTCGTTTGACCATGCATTCGTGTCCCGAGGCTCCAGGTCGTCCATGACCATCTGCATGACGCCACTGGCGTTGTTCGAGATGCCGGACACCTGGATGCGGTCGCCTGTGCGCGCACGCAAAAAGGTTCCGCGTTGATCAACGGCAGCTCTCGCAGACTGCGGGATGGGGCGTACCGACGAAGTTGAACTGAGCAGAGGCGTTCATCTGCACCGTGTAATGGTCGGTGCCCCCTGGTCCACACTCGTTGCTGAGGGCCGAATGCCATACCTCTGGCGGGTTGAAGATCACGTCTGAGAAGTCTAAGGCGACGGCCTGGTCCGACTGCGCCGCGACGCCTGCGAAGACGGTCGCGAGCAGCAGCAGGGGGAGTAGCACGGCGTGGAGCTGGGCGGGGAACATGGCGACTGCGGCCAAGGCAGCCTGGGTGCCTCAGGGATATTATAGCGGGCTGAGAAGCGCCGTCCGTGGGTACGGAGTCGGGGAGAGGGAGGGAGGAAACAGTCTCAGACGCCAAACTGATAGGGTCCCGCGATCAATGACCTCACTTGCCAATCACTGTCTTTATCCTGTGCTTGTGTCTTGATGCTCTGCGCGCCATCCATGGCGGCCATTCTGTAGAATTTCTGCGAGCAGCAGCCAAGGGGACAAGTCCTGAGGCCAGCATCCGGTGTTCAAGCACACGTTGGGAAGAGATGCGTCGCGCGCTTTGACGTCCAGGCTTCCAAGTTCACACACACTCTCGTTCGTGTCTGCGGTCTCCGAGCTGTGCGGTTCTCCTCTAGTCTCTCGGACACAGAGTTCCGCGGACGCCACCTCACTGCCACCTCTAAACAGATGCTCTAGGCACTGTACCCGCACTACAATTTAATATTACTCCACCGCCAAGGCGCACATGTCCCAACCGTCTGCCTGAGGTGTACCTCCCGGTCTTGCCTGCCCGCGGCGTCCACGATATGTCCGCTCTCTTCAAGTGAGCCGCAGAGCCGTAATTAGCAGAGGCTCTGGAGCTTATAAATCGTAGATACCGGTGCGAAAGGCTCGCATGAGTATGGTATATCGGCGGTGATGCTACCGCGACCACCGCCTCATCCTTCCCGACAGGAGATGGAGTGCGGGCTGTCTTGGAAGCCATGTAGTTTCAATAGCCCCGCCATTCTCCCGTTTCTCTGACTAGCATCAAAACGCCCTGCGTAATACGCGTATCCAGTCGCCGCTATCACGCGCCACCTAGTCTGAGCGAGGATAGGCATGGTCGAATGTGATCGACCACAGAGAGGACTTCAGAGCTCGGACATCTGAACCGTGTTTGACCGCTCGGCAACCTCCGGCCTGAGTCAAACGGGACATGGTCGAGTTGAACTCCCGCCAACATTCGTCTCGTCTCCTGTTTTTGCATCTCGTACCGCGCTGCGCGCACTTTCTGCATAGAATTCACGCGACCCAGGTCGTCTTCGGCCGTCTCACAAACACGCCTCGCCTGTCTCGGTTAGCTCTCTTGTGTTTCAACTACGCCCTGCCGCAACTGGTCTCTCGCCTTCTATTTCGGTTTCTCGATGGCGACTCCGACGACTTGCGATGTCTTGCCTTCTGCTGCCATGATTGCTAGCTCTGCGTCTTTCACGGAGTCCGAGTGTGTCTACCAGCGCGAGGATATCCTGCCAGGCAAACTCGTCACGACGCCACTCAGAACCGCTGGACCCTCTCTGGAGCAGATCGTGGCTAGAGTCACGGCCAAGAAACGACAGACCTTACGAAACGTCGAGAACACGGCGTGTGGCCCGGATGGTGCTCTGAACTATACGCCAAAGGACTATTTGCTGGCAAGCGGTCGCTCAGGGCTTGGTGGTGTGCGTGGTGCGTCGCAAATCTTCAGTTAAGCAGCAGTCCGGGAATTTTAATCGCACAAGCGCCCAGGCCACCGACAGGCTTGCAGCCGGCTACAGAACGCGACCCCCACGAACACGCCAGACAGCACGCCGCAGTCGACCCTCAGGCCTTCCAGTGGCAGAAACTCCTTTCCGACCTCCGTCTCCTGGTCGTTCGAGACGCGCGTACACCCGCTTCCCCCGCTGAAACCCTGCCTGCCTGGCCCTCGGCCTCCAGCCGCGCCGTCGTCCTCTGCACGGCGGCCCATCCGACGCGACGTCCTCCTCTACGAGACCGCGCGGCCACGCTACCCCGCACACCTGCTCCGCAGCGCCAGCCACGCCCCCGACTGCGTGGCGCCCGGCGCGCCGCCCCCGCCCGCGCACACGGGCGATCCGGAGGCGTCGTACGCCGCGCGGTACCTTGCGGGGCTCCCGCCTGCGCCCTCGCTCCCGCGCACCGGCACCCCCGTGGTGCACGGCGTGCTGCGCGCCGAGCCCAGTCTTGGTCCCTCGTCGTCCGCGAGCTCGGTCGCGTCGAGCGTGAGCAGCCTCGTCAGCTGCGGCGCCGCGGACGGCGAGGGCGCAGGAGGAGAGGCCCCGACGTGGCTGCTGCGCGGCGACGCGCCGGTGTTCTGCCCCAGGAAGGACCAGGCCCTGGAGCGTGCGGACTCTTGAGTGCGAGCGCCTGCGCCTGGTCGCGTCTCTGGCCCGGACGCGCTGCCGCCCGCCGACGCGACCTCGTGACGGCCGTGCCGGTGTGGCGCCCTGGAAGCCTTTCTGCCTCTGTCCGTGTTGGGGTCCAGTACTCTCGCGTCTGTTGCGCCATGCGCGGAGGCCTCGTTGTTGTCGGAGTTCGGACCTTGGTAGTCGGCACTCTTGATGAGTGTTACGCACTGATGTATGCACACACTCATTTCTTCACCACTAGTTCCTTCATAATGATATATGAGGTTTTCCGTGGCCATATGTCGTGCCTCTCGGTGTCCCCGTGCGTCTCAGTAGTACATCAACTAGGTCGTGTTGGCTGCTTTATGTAATTGCACCTGTGCGTGCATGAATGAGCAATGCTGTGGAGCTATGACCTGCTGCGCTGGCCTAAGGCGCACCCGCGTGATGAAATTCTACAATGGTTTTTCTTCGACTTCTGGGCTCGAAGACAAAGGTTGGAGGCCGAGACCACTCGAAGAACTCGGCGTGAGTACACTCGTGTATGTTTCGTCACCGCTGTTGCCACCTGGTTAGAAACCCCCCTGTCGAAGGCTGCAGCCAGGCTATTGTTCGACAGCCTGGGCACACACACCATGATACCCTCGACGACATCCATCACTGAGATCTGAGACTTGGGACAATGGCAGCGGTGCAGGGTCTAGACTCGAACAAGTGCAAACTGTGTCTTACGTGGCGCCTAAGAGTGGCTAAGCGCCCTGGGCAGCTACACAGAACCCGCAAAATATGGCCAGTGTGAGACTACTAATGTGTCGCGAGAGTGCCGTTGGTACGTCTGATACAACTCAAGTTGTCAAGCAGGGTCAAGAAGGGTGCCGGCGGATCTGTAGTGTAATACTGTCGTCCTGCCGCCTCGCGATCGCAGCCCTTGCCGTCGCCCGTGCCGTCGTCCATGCCGTCACCCGTGCCACGGTGGTACTTGAGGCATGTCGAGACCTGGATGAAGCAAGAATGCTCGGGTCGGGTGAAATGCTTCCGCGCGGGACAGAACCCGCCAGAGACTTGCAAGAGAGAGCTCGATCGCGCCGCACCACGCACCGCCTCCATGGCTCCTATTATTCCTTCGACCTGTTCTGCGTCTCTCTGGGAACGTTAACGTCACCGACAGGGTCGTGCGCGATTGGGAATCTGTGGGAGTCGAGATGTACGTGATAACGATGGCTCGCACCAGTGCCGCGATGGATACTGCGCGCGTTTGAGCGGAGCACGTCCATCGGGATGAAACTCCCGGTGGTGCTGAGCTTACGAGCGGCTTACGAGCTTTGCTACTACCTCCGCTGGCTGTTCCTTGCGCGAGCCAAGCACGGTGGTAACCATGACTGATGTGTGCACTGAGTCAGCGTCGGGCAAATGCCCAGTGAGACGCGGGGGCGGGGCGGGCACGCAAGGTGGATTACGCGGCTGAGAGTGAGTTTATATTCTGTCTTGCCGTCATGTTTACGTTGGGTGCCGGGCTCGTCGAGGCGTTCGCGAGCCCTGGTTGGCTCGCTGGCGGCCCTCCATGGCCATCTCCTGGTGGCAGTGTCCCGGCCGACAGGCGCCAGTGTAAATCCGTTCGTCGGCTGACCCCTAACATGCTGCCCGATTTGAGACGCGTAACCGCCTTTGCCGAGCTGTTGGCGTGTGTCCGCAACTGCAGGCCCAGACCTGACTCAGCGATGTCCGCAACCGCCCAGGCTCGCTCAGTTATAAAGACCCGCCCGCGACTCCAGTCGCGCCTCAAAGCTTCCTCTCCCTCGACCCTGCCCGCCACAGCGACCACCATGAACGCTTTCGCCGCCGCCCCGTCTGCACCCCTCTACATGTCCGCAGGCCGCAAGCACACATCGCCGAACGGGTCTATCCCGTCCCCGTATGACTACTTCGCGCCCCCCGCCGGCTACTCGCCCTGGGCCACCAACTCCGTCCAGTACGACAACCGCGGCCGCCTGCAGCCGTTCGTCGAGACGTCCGAGCAGCGCCGCGCACGCGCAGAGTTTCTGCGCAAGCGGGAGTTCTCCCGCAGGATCAACGCCTGGATCGAGGACGCTTCTTCAGAGGTACGAGTGTCCCTTGCCTTCTGCGAAGCCGGGCCGTGAGAGCTGACGAAACGGTCGAAATTAGGGTTCACGCAGCCCCGCGCTGAGCAGGTCATCTGACACCGACTCGTTACGTACGATTGACGAGGACGACGAGGCGGAGCAGGAACAGCAGGAGGAGCAGGAGCAGGAGGTCATCTACTCCACCTCGCCGTCCAACGCGCGCTGGGCGCCCGCATCGCCGCCCAGCGGCCGACCGCCCTCGCGCCACCTCCGCGCCTCGTCGCGCACGTCCTCCGGGTCCTCGCTCTCGTCCATCTCCGAAGAGGAGGTATAGCCTGCCTCCCCGTCCCTCCAGCAAAAAAATACACCACCCGCTCGCCCTACGCGCTGCGTGTGTGCCCATGCACCCCCAAACTTGTCCGCACGGACAACGAATCTGCTCGCGCCCGCTCGTCTGCTGTGCGGGGCCCGGCGCAGCGGCTCCTTGCATCAACGATGACGGCCGGGCCCCCCTCTGTCCCTGCACATTACGAGCAGCGGTGCTCCGGTCACACGAGAGGTCAGCAGGGGCCGGAGACACCGCATCCGTTATGGGATAGCGGACCTGTAGAAGTTAGATGAGCAGCTCCCTCGCCGCTTCCGCTTTCATCTCCTCGCCTCTTTTCCGCTTCGCACATGTAATTCCCCCCCTACCCACCTCGTTTCTGCGCTGTTGTTTAGCTTTCCTCCCCTCTTTCTGGCGTTAGACTCCCCTATTAGTTAGCACTAGTGTACACCCTCTTTTCTCCTGCTGTATCTTGCATGTATCGATTGCATCGCTACCGCGCTCATCGCGGCCATCCATTGTATTCAATGAGACTCACTGCTTCCCCCCTTCCAACCTTGCTTTATGTGCGCCTAAACAAGCTCATGTGAGGGACCGGGAGCCCAGCCTGCCAACGGACCCTGTCGACGCTAACCCGCGTCTCTACGTGCGTGCGCCGGAACCTTGCGCGGGCAGGTTCGCGCATTTAGATCTGCTTGTGTGAGATATGCTCATGTGCCTCTTGGCGGATCGCACAGGAGGTCACGGACGCGAGGAATAATACACGGTAGTAGTCCGTGTGCCCTTCGCCGCCGTTTCCGGAAATATGTCGTCGGGAGCTTTCCGTCGTGAGGAGGCGACAGGCTGTAGAGTGTCCCAGCCCCGCCCTCAGCCTCAGTGTTTTAGCCGATAATACGACGCAGGAGGGCGCGCGCTCTCCCGACTAGGCAGGAGGCGTCCGACCGTGGGCGCTGCTGCAGGGTCGCCGCGAGCGAGAAGCAGCCGGCTCCGCAGTCAGAATGTTTGCACAAGTGCGTCGAGCGAGTCTCGCCCCGTCATTTTCTCGACGTTTCTTTTCGTCCCTTCCTGAGCTGTAAACCCTGAGCGATGATCCCTGCTGGCAAGGGGTGCGCCCTCGGTTCTTGCTATGATCGTGATCTAGCTGCGTTGCGTGTATGAAGGACCCGGGAGACACGCCGCGGAGCGGACCATCCGCTGTGTGCCTGCCAACGCGCGGGGACCCTGTCGACGTTCGTGAGCACGACGCCCGTCGCGGCCCTTGCTGTACGTGCCAGTCACGGGACACACGTGAAGTGCCGGGAGACGCAAAGATCTAGGTTTCGGGGTCGGCACGCGCGGACGTGTCGGATGCGTGGGCTGGCGGTTCTGTTCTTGGCCTCCGGATGCTTACCAAGTTGTGCTCACGAGGCCAGGTCACGGCTGGTCACGGGCCCTCCTTTGGGGGTAAGCCAGATGATCAAAGTGCCAGAAAAAAATCTGATAAATTATACGCTGAGATGGGTATTCACGTCTACTACAATTCGTCGCGGTGGCCGCCGGATTGCCCTGCGCCCTCGCCCGTCTTGGTTGGCGTACTGCTCGCACCTGCGCCGCTGCTCGAGCTGCTCGATGACGACTCGGCCTCTTTCTTCTTCTTCTTCGGTGCCTTCTTCTTGACGAGCTTATGCAGCTGGCTCTCGAGCACCTTCGCACGCGAGTAGAGCTCGGCACTCTCGACGGCGGGGTCGTCGTACATCTGCACGCGTTTCTGGCGCTCGACGGCGTCGTCGAGCCACGCCTCGTGCTCCCGGAGCGTCTTCTCGAGCGCGTCGAGCTCGTCCTGCGTGTACTTGCCCGGCTCGCCGCCGCTCGCCTCGTCCTGCAGCGCGAGCCGCGCCTCCGTGAGGAATAGCCGCGCGCTCCAGTTCCACTTCTGGCTGTTATTCAGCGCCACCGGGAATGCCTCGATCTCCTTGTACCGGTGCACGGCCGGGTACTCGAGTTTTCTGTGCGACGTCATGATGGGTCAGGGACGATTTGTTCGACAGGAAAAAAGAAAGAAAGAAGGGGACGACGTACTCAAGGGCGGTGCGGTGCTCGACGAGCTCGTTCGTACCCGCGTCCTCGCCGTGCTCGGAGAGCCACGCGAACGTCTCCTCGAGCTTCGCGCCCAGCGTGGTACGCTCCTGCTCCTTCGAGCACTTCCTGAACGGCGTGTCGCCCTCCTCCACGAGCAGGTCTCGGACACGGTACAGGTAACTCTCGAGCGTGTTGCGCGCCTCCTCATGACGACGTTTGGCCACCTCCGCAAAATCGATGGCGCGCAGTCTTCGAGCGCGGCGTCAGTAAAAATTGCACATGTTCGGGGCACGATCGGCAGAACCCACCTGTCCCGCGCAGTGCGCTTCTCGGCGACCGACATGGGTGGCAACGACGACGACAGCTTGACTTCCAGCTCCAGAGGGATCGTGTCCTTCGCGAGAGGCTTCTCCTTCTCCTCTGCGGAGCTGTTCGTCGCAGACGTGTCAGGTCGTGCTGCGGTTTCAGACTCGCTATCGGTCTCAGAGCTCGACGAGGCCGAGCCGCCGAACAGGCCCTTGAGCTTGCCGGTAATGGTGTCGTCTTTGATCTCGCCAAAAACTACTGCTTCTGGGACGGTGGCGAAGCCGGAGTCGGATAGCGCCAGGGTGGCCTTGATGATGGGATCGACCGCGCCTGCTTCGGTGAGGTTCTTGAGGGCTTCAGGGATACCCTTCAGGCTGACCTCGAGGAGATCTGCTGGGTAACCGCTGGCGACAAGTCAGCTATAAGATGCATATATGCACATCGAGGATCACATACGGCACAGGAGAGCCCTTGTAGTTGAGCTGAAGCGTGAAATCGTCCTTGCGCCTGAGAGACAGAGTCTTCTTGCCACCGTACTTAGAGCCAGATGGGAAGACGAGCGTGTTGATTGTCCGTGACTTTGAGGTCTCGGACTTGGACTCGGCCTGATATGAGGCTTGAATGTCGTACGGAGTAATATCACTGACACGAATGTCCTTTGTCTTGAACTGGCGGCTCAGGCCGGCCCCGTGAAGGGCAGCACCTGTAAAATACATCAAGAGGTGAGGTGAGGTACACAGCGACTGACATACCAAGTACTGCAGCCTCATCTGCGTTGACATTGAGCGCAATCTTGGACTCGCCTACAGCTGCCTTGACGGCCGTCTGGATCATGGGCGTACGAGACGCGCCTCCAGTCAGGATGACGCTGGTGATGTTGTCCTGTCACTCGATCAACCTCAAGAGCGTATGTTAGCGAAGTTGGCTGACGTACCAGTGTGAGGCCGGCGTGAGAGAGCGCGTCGAAGATAGGCTTGGCGTAAAGGAGTGTCAAGTCCTTGCACGCGTTTTCGAACTGATTGCGCGTGACCTTGGACCGGAAGTCAATGTCCCATGCGAGACTCTCTACCTGATGCTCAGTCAGTACAAAGATGGCGACGGAACGTTTATGGATACCTCACCGAAGCCGTGGCATCTGCGTTTGCGCTGAGAATCGCCTTCACCTTTCCTGCCTCCTTCCAAAGCTTCGCCATGCCGCGCTTGTCCTCTCGGATGTCCCTCTTGTGCTTTTTGTTGAAGTCGCCGATCAAGATTTCGCGCAGACGGCGATCCAATTCGACGCCACCCGTGTTCCTGTCGAAGCCGTAGCCTTTGATAGCGATAGAGGTCGCGGTGTCCTTCTTCGTGTTTCCCGGCACAGAGCTGAACGCAGCGATAGTTGCGCGGATGGAGGACGCGCCGGCGTCATAGATGACGTGGTACTCGGGCTCCTCGGAGAAGCTGCGCGTCATGGCGTAGTTGACCGCGACCGCGGTTCCGTCGTGAACGAGCGAAAGCGTGCGCATCCCGGCAATCTCGACTGCGTCGACCACGGCGTCACGCTCGTGCTGCGTGTAGTATGGCGGGATCGTCAGAATGACATCGGTGACCTTCTCGTTGGCGGTGGACTCTGCGAGCTCCCGTACATAGGCGAGCTGCATCGCGATGAGCTCCTCGACCGACCATTCGGTACCATCCGAGCGGCGAAGTGCGACGGTGCCTCTAGATGTCTGGAAGACATCTGCAGTGGAAATCGAAGTGTAGAAGGATACTGTCTGGGAATCAAATGGAGCAGCTTGCAGGTACTTAAGATTTGAGAACGAGTCTGAAGGAAAGCGTCCGGCCTGTGTCCTGTTAGGCGAGGTATAGAATGACCTTTGGGCGGACTTACGAGGTTGAACGCGTCCGAGCCAAAGAGCCTGTCCTGCTTCTTCCATCCGACGGTCGACTGGATCTTGCGCTTCGAGTTTCTATCTAGCAGTACGTCAAATGGCACGCCGGGTGACATTAACGAGGCCTTGATCCATTCGGAGCCGTAGTCTATGGCCAATACTGAGGCGAGGGCTTTTTGAGTAAAAGTCGTGAGACATAGCAGCAAGCAGAGTATTAATCGTCTCATGGTGTAAGCATAGAGAAAAGAGAACGAGGACGAATGGAACGGGAACCAGATGCGTGCGGTGCTTAAGACCGGCCTACACGTCTACGGACACGTATAACTCACCACGTGACTTTTGCGCGAATATCCGATGCATTGCCGCCCGGAGGACACGCGCGGAGTGGCCACTTTCTTCTCATCAACAGATGAGACATTGCTGATTGCTGGCGGCCTTCTCTCTAATATTTTCTGTTTCTAGTCAACCATTCTACCACAACATGGCAAGATGCTGAACAGGGCATTCAGCACCGAATGTATCTGCCACCACAGCAAGCTTGCGCTCAGACCATATTCATTATGTGTCTTTGTCCAGTGCCACCCAGCACGAACGGTGGCCAGTTGCCTTATCAGAGTGGGACAGGCAGGTCCAAGCACACACCGCTCTATAGCACATATATAGAGAGAGGAAGTTCCGTCATGTTTGGCTCGCTTCCAAGTCGCTGTACTCCTCACACACATGTCTAGCAACGTCGACTGCGCCACACGAAACCTCCGTGGCCACCCAGATCACGCACATGGCCCGCCCACCAATGTAAGCTCTACGCGCAGTCTCCGAAGGTGTCAATGAAACTAATATCGTGCCACTGTCTAAATAGATAATCCCGCTTCATGATCCCTGCTCGACCAACAGCCAGTCATGGCTGCCAGTGCATCCTTCTATACCCCTCGCTCGAGATTATATGCATCGCATGCCTGCATCTAAACCGGATCCGGAAATTCTTACTGTGATACCCGCTCACTCTGCGGAGGATACCGTCCCAACGCTCCTTAGTTACACAAACTCTCGAAGTATTTGCCCAGCACGCGATGAAGTCCGGCCTCAACGACCTCACGTCGGAGGACAGTTCCCGAGACCACCGGCGCCTGTTTTTGGTGGCACCTGGGACCTCTGCATGCAATGCGGCATGTCGTATGACCTTCGGGAGTGCGTCTCAACTTGACCTTTTGTAGCGCCACAGCATCTCACTATAACCGTGACACTTATAGTAGTGACCCCTGTGTAGTCAGGTGCACAAAGTGTTTGAAAGAGCACGCGCTTCTCGCCGACACATAGCTCGTTTGCGTCAACGTCTCTGTGTTATTGGCTAGAAGCACGGATCTTATCAATACCGTATCATAATCTTCACTTCTTTTCTCGTTTTGAATTTCGCAGAGAAGACGTGTGCGGCGCTGCATAGTTTTCAGGGCTTCGACATATTCCGAGTCTTTCTGCTTTGAGAACGAACGAACTGCCAGAACCGACTGGTCAGTCTCTTGGCGGCTATCTCCACAAACCAAATCTTCCTCTTGACAATCTATCGACCTATCGCACCCCCATGGAAACGTCTGAGCTTGCGCCTGAGTAAGACATGCAGCAGTATCAGGGGTCATACCCATGCGGGCGCCAGCGAGCATGTTGGACGAGACTGCCTCGTAAATTCAGGTTAGACAGCCCAGCATGTTCAGATCTTTGTACGACGCTGATCATGACGATACAGACCTTCAATGCTGCTTGCGGGTCCTCAGGGTCGTGCATGCAGAAATATTTCTCACAGCTCTTTCGCGGAAGAAGTGATCAAGTCTGGACAACTCAGGCGCTATTACAATATTAATGGAACAATAAGACGCGCAGTGCTGGGCAAAGGGCCAAACTGCTCCCGCCCATGCCTATTCAGCATTGGATGATCGGGACGGTATGGAATTTAACACGCACACATCCAGGAACTCGGTGACGGGCCTCACACGGCGGTACATGGTTGCAAGCGGCGCACATGCAACGCCTCGAGGCCTTGGTAATTGTTCCGTACAGTGATCGCATCCGGTTAAGTGTGCTCCCCTGTTGCCAATGACCCGGTTCTGGGAAGGTGACTAGCTGGCCGCGCGACGATGTCGCCGACTATATATTCAAACAGGAGGGCCACACCCGTGACATCCCCCTTTACTCGGCTGCACGATGTCTGACCACCAGCTTCCCCCACCTCCAGCCCAGCACGGTGGAGCATCTGAAATTCCGATGCCACAAGTCGACATAAAGGGCGTGCAGCCCACAGCGCCGCCTGGGCAGCGCGAAGAGTGGCACGGACGTTACCCCTACCCGCAGCCCATACTCCCGCGCTGGCAGCCTATGGGCCCACAGGTGCCCTACCTCCTGCCCAATTTTAGAGGCTTTGGCGACGAGCCGCGTGCCCAGCTGCTCGACACACACATACCACAAGCGCAGCCTTCGCTCCTCCAGACCCCGCCTCCCGAACCCCATGCTCGCACCCGTATGCCAGAAGGTTCGGGAGTACCCATGACGACGCGCGCTGGCTTGCGTCTCCCAGCCCTTCATGCGGCGAGCTCTACGTCCGACCCGACGGAGGCCAAGTGCACAAACTGCGGTGTACCAGTAGACGGGTCGCAATGGCGCCCTGGCATAGTACACCACGAGGTGCATTGCGCCCCGTGCGGTCTGCAGTACGCTACGGTACGATTCTGCCTAGTTTTTCGTGCTTCGCGGCTGACAAGGTCCATCAGTCCAAGCGTCGGCGTCCCGCAGATAGGCGCGACAGCATTGCCAATGCAGATGCCGCTTCGCAGGAGGCACCTGAGCAGCAGCTCCCGCCACCCCCTGCACAGTGCTGTCGTTGTCAGACAGCAATAGCTATGCCTTCGTGCCAGGACAGCGAGGGAAGATGGATCTGTTACGTCTGCTCCAGGCTGGAAAATCGCTGGTATGAAATGCAAGATGAGGGTGGGGAATGGGATGCTGGGCGGTGAATGTGCCCATCAAGGTAGCCTGGCCTCTTTCGTACACCCTCGTGGGTTATGCAATAAAATTTGTTGTAGCAGATGCGAACCAGCGAATCAAGAATGCGGTTGATTCTCCACTGGCTCTTGATATCAACGTATCGTTCCACAGGCGCGCTGTTACAGTCTGCTGCGGTCTCCTCGGACCAAAGACTGGTCAGAACGCTGGAAGCGTGTCTGATAGCTGTCGCATAAGCTATTCTTCTGCCTTGTGACATTTCTCAGACATTACTTATAGAGGGTGTTTGCCAACACAGATGAATTAATGTTACACCTTGGTCCTGAGCGGTAAGGGGTGCACGGGGTCTTTGATGCCCGCTGCCCCTGTTCAAAAGTGGGCGCTTTGTGCTGTAACGGTTTGCGTCATTCTCTTGGTTAGCGGAGCACCACCTAGGCCCATCGCAGACATGGCACCAAACCCAACCGACCTGAGGAGCCAAGACGTCACTCCATCCTTCATGACGACAGGGTCCTTGCGATAATAAATACCTTCTCATCACTGCTCGCTCCCCACTCTTTCTTTCTTTCTCACCGTTTTCGACGGCGCCGACGTCACTCTTAGCGTTCTCGTCAACCTACGTGACTGCAAAGACGACATGAGATCGACATCGCTCATAATCTTGCTCACACTCTCCCTGACGGCCCAAGCCTCGTGGTTTGGTGGCGATTCGTCATCGTCGTCTGCCTCCGCACAGGCTTCGGCATGGTCCTCGGAGCAGTACGCCAAAATGCAGCAGGTGTTCCACGGCTTGAAGGCGGACGCGTTCGACACATGGGACGAGTCGCGTCTGCGCGAGTTCTTGCTCGACCAAGGAGTGATCGAACCGAAGGGCACGCGGGAACAGCTCGCGGTCATGGCGAAGCAGCACTACACCTCATTCACGAGCGTGGCAAGCTCGTATTCTGCGGGTGCGACATCCCTAGCTAGCGACGCCTCTGCAAGTGCGGCATCGCTCACGAGCAAGGCTGGAAAGAGCGCTACCAGCATGGCAAGCCAGGCCAGCAAGTCTGCTTCAAGTGCAGTCTATGGCGACCCAGCGTACCAGGCCTCGAAGTCCGTCAGCTCCACCTACGCTCAGGCGACTAACGACATTTCACGAACATTTGACGACACCAAGGACTACGTCTACTCTACGTGAGTACACATGTATGTGGCTTTTGAGCCTTGCTCACACCATACGGACAGATGGGATGACAACCGCCTCCGCTCTTATTTGGAAGAGAAGGGTGTAATCAAGACTAAGCAGCAGGCAACCCGTGACGAGCTTCTTGCGAAGATGAGGGAAACGTATGCGAAGACTGTCAACCCCGTTTGGCAGGCCTGGTCTGACTCATATATCGTGAGTTCTGTTTACGCCATACCAAGTTGTATCCGGCTAACCCTTCCTTCAGCGCGAATGGCTCATCTCTCATGGACTACTCCGTTCGGATGCTCAGAAGACGCACGACGAACTTGTCGCTTCAATGAACCAGTATTATTACGGTATCAAGGTGCGTCGCGGTTTTCGGATGTGCATACAGCCACTTAGGTTGACCAGGATTATGTCTCGTCTCTTCAGGACACTGCCTACTCGAGTTGGTCAGACTCTCAGATGAAGGACTGGCTTGTTGAACACGACATCGTCAAGTCGGATGCTCAGCTTCAGCGCGAGAAGCTGGAGAAGCTCATGGCCGACAACTACGTCAACGCTAAAGACACTGTCTGGGGATCGTGGCGCGATTCTGACATGCGTCAATGGCTCGTCGAGCACGATTACATCAGGAGCGATGCCCAGAAGACCCGCGATGAGCTTGTTGCCATGATGCACGACAAGTAGGCTTTAATATTCGAACGTGAAGGTTCAAACCTAACTACGTATCCTCGCAGGTACAACGACTATGCTGCACGCACCGCTCCATATCTTGTCTGGCCTGATGCCCGTCTCCGCGCGTACTTGCGTGAACACGGTCTGTCTGAAGACGCTCTCCCCACGTCTCGCCCGGGCCTCCTTCGTAAGTTCCGTTTCGATGTGGACGACGAGGATATAGGACTAACATCATGAACGCAGAGGAAGTTCGTATTCGTTGGGTCCAGACGCAGCATCGCGCCGAGTCCATGTATGTCAAGATTAAAAACATCATCCTTTCCGGTGTTGAGTCCGCCGAAGTGAAGCTTGGCATGGTGAGCTCCCAGACACCTTATGAGGATAGATACTGACAGCCTTGCAGATCCTTGACCTTCTGACTGGGTCGGCAGAACACGCCAAGACACGGGCGAACGAGAAGTACCACGAGAACAAGGAGCATGCGCACAAGAAGGCCGACGAGTACACCGACTACGCGTCACAGAAGGGTGAAGAGGCCAAGGCCAAGTCGGCTGACTACGAAAGCACGGGTAAAAAGTACTGGAACGAGAAGGTTGAGGGCGCGAAGCGTGCCGCTGACCATGCGAAGGTGGAACTGTAAACTGTGCTCCTCTGCTTGTCCATCTGGAAGTCTTTTTGGGAAGAAAAGTACTCGTTTTAAACAATCTTCCGTTGTTATCACTACTCTTCCGTTCAGTGTATATAAATTAAGTGTAGCTTTAGGACATAGCAACAAGTCTCGTAGGATAATCTATTTGTTGATGCGCAATGAACATTAATGAACACGAAAGTGCGAGAAATACGCGGAGAGAAGGGGGGCACCTTTACCAGTGGCGTAGGAGAGTGGGGTTTCTTGTGTATGGGCAATGACCGTGAACAGCTCTGGTAAGGCTATATACTTCTAGACCTCTGGTAATTATTTCAGCTCATGATAAAACAGTGCTACTGCCAGTGTGATAAGGCTAGCTTGATATCATACTTAGAGCAATTCAGGCGTTTGGCGGACGGGGTGGACTCTGTCATAGAACACTTCTTTGCCCTCGAGCTCTTGGTCGCTATTCACAAAATTCCACAGAAGAGTGGCTGCATCGCGCAGAATTATATTAAGCGACGACTTGAAGCCTGGCTAGGCCAAGATAGGCGAGAGCTGATTGAGTGATAATGATAGAATTACTGATGCTAGGACTGCTTGTTCCCTATGCGCACTCCTCGATCTCCCCGCAGGCACTCGGCCAAGCTCGGCCACGGCAGCCATGTTCCTCATACGGCTCTCCATCCTCCCGTTACTCCCGTTACTACTCGCGAACGTCCTTAAAGAGGCCGCTGCGTGGCCTAGGCAGGCCGTCTGGTCCATCTCTGATTCTATTGACTTCGACAAAGACGTGCTCTACGGCCCACCTGAGGCGTGGTACTATGGGTTTGACGGCCCGTGCGAGCCTGGCGTCGACATCTGGACGACGCAAATGAACGCCTCTGTAAAGATTGATTTCGTCGGTGCGTATCACCCTGCAGCCTCTGCTAGTCCTTGCTGATCAGTGTCGCACTGGATTTGTACGCTCAGGCAGTCGCATCTCGGTGTACGGTACCAGCAATAACGCAAGCGGTATCATGCGGATAAAGGCCGAGGACAAGGTGACGCAGGAGTGCTAGTGGTATCCGCCGGAAGAGATGCATCTGTGGTCGCCGGACGCCAAGTGCAGCCTCTTTTTTGATTGGTATCTTCCACCAGGCTCGCACACACTCACATCTCACACTTGTTGGCTTCAAACCCGATCCGAACAACTCTGGGCCTCCCTACAACGAAACGGGGCCGGCTGCGCCCGCTCTACACCTCACGGACATTGTGTATGCCATTCTCTGACATAAAATGTAGTCTTGTCTTTGACCTCGTGTTCTGGCAGGTATTGGATCGAAGAGCCTAGCTATCTTCGCGCGATTCATTTGGAAAACAGTCCTCAAATCATGTGGCAAACAGCCCCCAGATTATACGGAAAAAAGCCCTCAGGTTGTATTGGAAACGATCCACAAAACATAGGTAGGTGTCCGCTTATTTAGCTCCTGTTTGATGTAGCCATTCTTTCCCTTCGCTCGTTGCCGCGAACTAAATCTTGTTATCTCCCTTTAGGAGCCAATCCTAGGCTGGATTTGGGGCAGTCTGTACGCAAAGATGGCCGGTATGTCTGCGGCGGAGACGCAGAGTGTTGCGAACTGGTAGTGTAGCTAGCTGTACAAGGCTCGCAAGGAGCATCAGGCAAAGCGAAGTCATTGAAGTTGAGCTTTATATTCGACAGATACACCCTGATAAACATCGACGCGTGAGGGTTGCGAGGGAAATAGAGAAGCAATGCAGGAGATGGCTTGGCGAGGACGACTTCCGAAGGCACGAGAAGGCACAGGAGATTTCAGAAAAAAGCGTGGAGCGCGATCGCCATCGACGTCAATGTGATAATATGAATACTACTTGCACGGGATAATATATACAGCAAACAGTGCTAATGTAGATAATACTGGCACAGACAAGCGTTAGACACATCTCGCACATGATGAAGCGGAGCGACTTACGATATCATGATGCAAGGCTAGCATACTTGGTACACATGAGTAGGATTCAAGAGAAGGAAATGGAACGGCGGAGACCGAGACCAGGAAATCTCAAATAGATTTACAGAACTCTTTTGAGCTCAGAATGGTGCGGAAACACTCGTTGTGCACAAGTAAATGGCGTGCACTACCAGGATGCGCAGCGCGAGCCGCAGTACTGTCTCTGGAGTTAGTTATTCGCAAACGTCAGTTCACAGGAGAAACCAAGTAAGGAAAGGGAGCTGACGTCTTGAAGTTCAGGCTCCTACAATCGAAGAGGCGTGTCAGTGGACGGCAGGCGCATGCGAAAGCGCGGAGTGTAACGTACAGCTGGGATAGGCGTAGCAGCTGTCATGCCGCTCAACGCGACGAGTATGAGGGCCGCGTAGGTAGATAGTACGGTGAAGAGCTTCATCAGTTCCTATCGAAGAGATGGTACTTCGCAGAAACAAGCTGTTGCAAAGCTCGAGGGAGAAAGGTAAGTGGGTGTTGACAGCACTTTAGTCTGAGCGCAGCCACTTAAATACTTGCACATTCGATTGCCCAGACCCCCACCCTTTGCGTCATTTTCCACGTAAGTGTTCTTGGAACTTCGCCTTGTGTTCGCCGAATGACTACGCATGCGCGCTGAGGGCTTAATCCATGCAAGACCCGCCGAGAAGATTATTGCAATAATGTGAACATCCGAAGGCTAGTACGTGTGTGGAGGCACGGCAAGGAGCGCTCATTTAGGCAGATCTCATCCCGGCCGAAGCGGGAAGAGGGCGGAGGGACCTATATGGAAGGACGGAAATGTCAATAGCCAGGGACAGCCAGGAACAGCCAGGAACATACCAAGTCACCTGCTAGGGACCACCGAAGAAAGGTCCAAGGTCCTAAGCGAAACAGACGAAGAGCGAACGAATGACAATCAGAGCGATTTTGCACTAAGCGTTAATGTGAAATCGTTGCTTTTTACGCCTTGGACGCGGTCGCCCATAACGCGTAACGGTGTGCGTATGGTTGGCAAGACTGTCTGCATCTTGTGCGTTGGGCTGTTGGGTGGCCTTTGTGCTGCGGGAAAATACCCAGGGCAGAGGATGTCACATACACAGATATGTGCACGGCAAGCGCAGGTCATACACCGTGACCATGTCCTTCGATTATCAATGATACACTATAGATCGAGGGTAGGAAACACGCAAGTTATTGAGGGTATGATGCGCCGCTTCTCCTATGAATGCATCACAGATAGGCACAATTTGTCGATCTTTGACGGTACCATAGTAACCACCGAACTAATCCGCGTGTGCCCGTTATACATGTGCAAGCGAACGTGAGCGCCGTCCATTGCGCCGTTCACTGCACGGACAGTAAGGGCAGACAAGGCCGCAAAAGCCGCCGGTGACTCGAAGCCGAGAGTCCATGTCTTTAAGTAGGAGCCTCCAGCAGAGTCCTTGGCCGTACACACAATCGACTCGGCATGTCAAATGAGACTGCGGCGTAAATGAGAAATGTAGAGCAGTTCGCGGCGGAGGCAGTGACCCACTACATTTGTGTCATGCGCCAGAAGCACCTTGGCATGGAACTAGGGAACGCGAGAGCGCGACATAATCGTTTGCGGCCGCTGACGAATATCGAAGGACCCGAAGAGGCCTCGTACCTGACGGTCTAAGCGCCACTGCGAGGTGTCACGATCAGGTGTAGCTCACCAGTTTCCGCAGGGCTTGGGGCGGATGCAGGTCTTGCAGCGCAAACTTCTCGCGAGATGAGAGAGGCATAGTAACCCATGCTGAGAACTGTTACCAGATGGACATAGCATTTGAAGCTTGACAAACGGTGAACGGAACCTCGATTAGCAATGCGGTATAATGAGTAGTATCTAAAGCAGCGCATCTACATTATTCTATCAGACAGAACAGCCCACACAGAGCCTAGATCAAACCCACATTGAACCAAGTGCCCTACGAAGTCAGGGGCTGTGGCTTGTATACCGGGTGCATTGTAGCCTGGAGCGCTCGTTCACGGCGGCGGCGAAGCGAGCCCTCGTACTCCTTGCATACCCACTTGAGGTACCGGATGTCTGTCGCGCGGCCCGCGACAACAAGCCGATGATGTAGCAACTCGAGCTCCGTGAACGACAGCAGCGGCGGCACGCTGTCATCGGGGATATCCGCAACATTGAACATACGCACGAGCGGTCGTGCGCCGAGGAGGTTCGTGCGCGTGCTCCGAAACTCGGGGCGTGGCGCAGGCTCGCACACGACTGTGGGAGGGTACGCCGCGACGAAGGCCTTTATGGCTTCTACTGCGCGCTGGACATTATTCGTGCTGCATGGTGCTATTAGCCTAGAGTGCAGTGAAGGATTTGAAACACTCACAGAGCAAGCACCCTAATCATCGCAGCATGCGCCCTTTCGATCAGTCTAGCATTTGCCACGACCTCCAGCGGGCCCGCTGCACGCCATGCGTCTTCAAGAGCGCACCATTCGGGGAAAACCCCCTCTGCGAATCGCAGCGCCGTCGGCCGCTCGGCCTTACTCGCAATCGCGCAGCGCTCGAGAACCTCGACGTACGAATACGCATTGCGCGAGACGCCCACATCGGTATGGACTGTCTGGAAGAGCTCGCGCCAGGTCTCAATTGGCGAGTGCCTGTAGTGCACGGACAGATACGCATTCAGTAATCGTGGGGTGAGTTGCACGTGGGCGAAGACTCCCTCCGCGCGCCGGCTATCGTCGAGCAGCTGGCTGAAGAGCATTTTGGCCTCGTGAATGACCTCAGCATGGCTCTGCGGCGGCAGGCGGGAGAATGCTTTTTCGGGTTCAGCGACGACCTCGCTGATTTCTTCCTCCACGTCCGATATCGGCGATGCATCTTGTGGCCTGGCTTTCTGTAGCACCTCAGGAGCCTTTGGAGCAAGCGAGCGGATGTACGGCGTCCTGTAGGCTGCGTACGTATGGAAGATGTGTAGCATCGCCTCCTCTCGTATCGCCCTGTGCGGATCGACCTGTGGGTCGCCGGGCGCGGCGTCGGGTAGTAGGCTCTCCCTGACCATCTCTGCGAGGATCCACCGCACGCGCGGGAGGTCACCGATGCGCTTAGCGCCTTCGAGGAGTGCACTGAAAAAGCTTCGACCTGGCATAAACTGTGAATGACCATAGGCGTCCCGATGGGCGTCCATCATCTCCTTCGCGAGCCGCAGCCCCTCGTGCACGTACTTTGCACGCCCCGAACGTGCACATGCCAGGATTGTTGCAGTATACGCGCCCGCCGTCGGCGGGATGTCGTTGTCAATTGTCATCTCAATGAAGAGGTCCAGCGCGCGTTCGGGTTCACCATCCGACGAGATTGAGGGCGACGCACAGGCACGGATCATGGTTGTGTACATGAGGGCATCTGGCTTAGGGTGCGCAACATAGCGCATGTGCGAGAAGAGATCCCATGCGTGTGCGTGTGCAACAGAGGAGCCGGCTGACAGAAGGCGCGTGATCAAGCGCGAGTACGTTTTTTGGGATGGTGCTAAGGCGCGGCCTTCATAGTCATGAAGAGCTCGGAGAGCATTTCTAGGGAAAGCAGCTTGTGGGACTGCTTTGAGATGTGCTTGGATGTGAAGGTCTCGCTGTAGCTCGGTTGGTAAGGCTGCGTAAAGTATGAGTATCGGATGAATATCGAATATGCATAGCGCACTGACTGCTTAGAAACTTGGAGACAAATTGATCAGCCCTTTCGATATCGCCTGCTTCGGCATAGACGGCCAACACGATATTGAAGCTTTCTTCAGGGGTGTCACATCTTGACCGCTGTCAGCGTCAGGATCAGTGAAGCATTTTGGTGACTGAATGCGTATGAGTTCTCACTTTCATGAGAGCTAGCACACGTTCCGCTGCCTCAGTATCATGTTCCCGGACCTGCATAGCGATCAGCGTGGGCAATGAATGGAACACGGACAGAACATACACAGTGAGCGACTAGGGCTATCCACTCCTTTTGTGTGACAAGAACGACAGGTGTAGAGGATAGAAACTCTCGAGGTTCATCGCTAGGAACGACAGGCTCTGATTTCTTCATAGCAGCTTCGACTGCTTCCAGATCTGTCTGCATGTGTTCGAGGTGTTTTATCAGAGCATGGCGTACAGGCTGCGGCGCGACAGTCGAGGTGGATGGCTCAGATATGTCGGGTAGCAATCGCTCGGCAATTTTATTGACGATAGGAAGAGAATCTTCCTCAGGTTGCTTGACTATGGGTGTTGTCTGAGTGTCAGGTGCTCCTTCCTTGGGCAGGGCGAGTAGATCCTCATACACTGCCAGTAGCTGCTCTTCGTCGTAGAATTCGTGAGTCTCAAGATCCTCCTGCGGTATATCGAGGTTAATTACGCGCAAGGAGACATATTGTGCGCCGGCGCACCTCAGACACCATCGTATTCTTCAAAGCGTTCACGCGTTCTTCTAATGTTGACACCGCCCTCGGCTGCGGGTCACCAAGCGAAGCTACCGCTCTTCTCTTTTCCTTCATTTTGCGGCTAGTCCTAACGATGCTAAATGTCAGGTATGCCACCCAAGTACCATGCACTCGATGCGCACCTTGTCGCATACAAGGACTGCTTATCTTGTTCGTACTCCGGCGACAATATCCGGGGCCTTAGAACTACGGCTGAGTGCGCTTGTCTCCGTGCTGTAGCCTGCCAGAGCGAACCAGAAAAGGCCTTCGCGCGGCCTGCCGAAGTGCTCGTTCGAGCAAGAACAAGGTCAACGAGCCCAGAAGGGAGGCGAATTCCAGACATGGCGAGCTCGGATGCGTCCAAAGTTTTTGCAGGGAAAATGACCACAGTGATCGAGATACGTGAGTAGTGGGACGAAGAGCGTGACAAGAAGTTGAGCACCTGAGCTGTCGCAAGAGAAAAGTCTCGCAAGCGCAACAATTTCGCTAGCCGGACTCCAGAAATCTCGCCTTGGCGCCCAGAGAGCGCACATTGGGCGCTTGGGGAGTTGCGCGGCTGTTACTAACGCGTAAAATTGAACAGAAATGTCCGCCTGCAAGCACGCTCTCGAACCATTCGAGGTGCTCCTTGCGACATTGTCAAAAACTGTAATACATCGCTAATTCAGCAACTAGAAGACGCAAAAAATTTCTTTTAAATCCATGTCCACATGCTAAATATTACAACGCAGGTAGCTTGCCGCTGGGAAACCATACGTCTTTGTGGTTGTTCTCAGCATACCACGGCCCGTCATGCGCAAGGATCACCTGCACCCTCGAATCATTCTCCATCAGCTGCCGAATCCTCGCAATGTGCTCCGCTGCTTTCTCGGGGTTGAGGTGTGCGCACCCAAACAGATGGTGCCGTGGGATCTTGGCCTCACCGTAGAGCAGCTTCCTATCGTGTGCGCTGTCTCCGGCGAGGTAGATCCATCCGCCGTCGGGCGACGTCCGCGCAAGGAGGTTGACGTGCCCTTGGACATGCCATGGCCCGGCATCGACGATGTACAGACTTCCGTCGCCGTAGAAGTCGTGCGCGTGCTCGAAAGGTCCCAGCGGTGGGCTTCCCGAAAGGTCGAGGAAGCGCGTGCGGTCTAAGGGCAGCAGGTCGGAAGAGACCATTGAGTCGGGGTTCTTGGGGTACCCGTTGTCGAGCACCTCCTTGGACCCGGCGCCGACAACGAAGGTGGACTTCTTGAACAGCGCGGGATTGCCGGTATGGTCGAGGTGAAGGTGTGAGATACAGACGTGTTTGATGTCATCTGTGGGCAAGTTGCCCGCTGCAAGAGAGTCGACGACGTCTTGTGGGACATCGATATCGAACTGCACGTGTTTCATACGCTCGACCACGCCAGGGCTAATGTTCTGCCAGTCTCGTCGTAGACCCAGGTCGAAAATAAACGTGTCTTCGTTCTTCGAGTGCCGCAAGAGGAATGCGAGAGCTGGGAGTTTGATCCTCTCGCCGGGCTGCGCGGTGTCTATAGCCCATTCACGAGGAATCTCGACGAGACCTGCTCGCAAGGCCGAGACGTCAACATAGGCCTGGTCTTTCGCCGGTGCTGGAAGGAGCGCCATGAGGAGAGTCTAGGTAAAAGAGCGTGTCAGAAGGAGCTCGAACTGAGCGATAGGCTGTCTCGACTCACGGATTGTTGGTTACGTATCCCCGCTGTGAGAATCGGAGGCTTTACATGACCTCCCAAGTATATATACTCTGGACTCACGAATGTTTGTCTGCTGACGATAACAAGCTCACGGTCGAGCCGACGGAGGCGGATGCATACATGGGCCAACGGCCTCGGCGTGTTCCTCCCGTCTTCGAACTTTGACCAAGCGGTTTCCTGCGAATCATGAGCAGCGAGTGCTTACAAAGGAAGCAGGTAACCGGTGAGGGAAAGCATCATAGAAAGAAGTGGAACGGAGCGCAATGTGGCACTCAAGCGCTTAGACCTAAACTTCCAACTTACGGCCGCGACATCACTGTCATCACGGAGTTTCTCACCGTGAAAAGAGACGATTTGCGCGAACTACACCCATGACAAATGGTTCGGCAGTTTACTCAGCTCGCCCTGGCCTACCATCACAGCAAATTTGGTCATAAACACGTACGCTTGTAATACCATAATACACAACTGCACAGCACTTGCACTCTATTCGCCTGTCGAGCCGGCAACCACGCTGCCGTGCACTCCCCAGCTGACACCGAGGCCGAAGAGGACCCAGCCGAGGACGATGATACCCATTGATAAGGCGAGGAACGCGTGCCGGAAGAGCGGCGAGTGGATCATCGGCGACTTGAGTTCCCTCTCGAGCACCTTCGTCTCGTTGAACTCCTCCTCGCCGTCGTCCACGGGCTTCTCGAGCCCGCACTTGCGCGCGAGCTTCTCAACCTCTGCGGGCAGGTGCCGCGGCGCGATCTGCGAGAGCCGCGCGGCGGCGAGCATGCCCGGCACGATGTACGCCGCTAGCAGCAGCGTGCCCGACGCGGCGACGGAGATGAAGGCGTACGCGAGCCAGAGTGACACTGCTGGGTCAAGCGAGTTCGTGCTCGAGTCGTCCTGCATCTTGCCCGCGGCCGTGGTGATGATTACAATCGACGCCTGTACCACCGACTCTGCAAGGCAAAGTTAGAGCTATCACTGCGGCACGACTAAAGCATGCTTACTCTTGATCGCGAAGGCCGTGGCAAAGTACTGTGGGTCGGCGATGATGTTACGGATGATCTCCACCTGCGGCGCGGGAGTGACGCATTGCGAAAGGGCATAGAAGATGTATGCAGCAACTGCAGATACGCAATGTCAGGCAAGGCTGCGATACTGAAGCACAATTCACTGACTGAAAGTGGGAACACTGTGCGAGAATTTGAGAAGTAGCATAGAAATCAGGAAGGTAAGGCCAGAGATGAACACTAAAGGTGCACATGTCAGATAGCGCACAGAATGTGTTGGACTATCAGACTCACAAAACCCGATGCGCTGGCCGAAGACATCGATGTATATCCCGATGAACGGCGTCAGACACGCTGGAAGTAGCAGGTAGAAGCTGGACACCCAGCCACCAATGATGGCACCCTTCTGGAGACGTTGCTGAGCGAATTGGCTTCACACATACCCCGATCAATGATAGCTCAGCGCAAGAATGGTTAATCGAAACTCACGTCGAGATGGACACAAACGACTGTACGCCCGCGTTCTCGAACACAGCAAAGATAACAACCATCCAAAACGTGACGGGAAGGTGCCTGATTGCATCGAGCCTGAAGGTCCCTGCCTTCGCAGCGCCAACATGACGCCGCCCGCTCGTCTGGTCCGTGACGTTGTATTTTCGGCGGAGGTAGATGTCCAGCAGCACGACGGAGATAGCACACAGGAACGAAAAGAGCGCGATGGCGGAGCTAATCCACAGTGCCCAGGCATACGACCCCAAGTTCTGCGTAATAACGTTCGCGGTGGACTGGCCCGTGAACTGTGCGAGGTTCGCGATGCCCCTGCGAGCGTATCAGCATGTGCACAACCAAGCGAGCAGCTGAAAAGAACCTACCAGATTGTGCCGATGGAGAACCCAAAGCCACGTCCCGGCGCGAAATACGTTGAGAAGATCCGGTGCTGGGCGTTGTCCAGCGAGCCGTCGCCGATTGCGGCGAGAACCTTGCCGAGGATGAGCAGCGGGTAGCTGTTCAAGTTGTTTGTCGCCGCGCCCGCCATGACTATGGAGCCGGACAGGTGGAAGCCCGCGAATATGACGGACATGATCGCGCCACCCCATTTGTCGATCGTGAAGCCGAAGCCGATGCAGAGGAAGGTGTTGATCTGCAGGAGTGTGAGTACGGCAGCTTAGGCGGAAAGATAATCTAGCTTACAAGATTGGTCACGGCAACCTGAGACGAGTCAGCGTGCGCATGAATGGCAAATTATGTGCACTCACCAAAGTCGCAAACTGTGAGTTGTTGATGTTTGTCTCTTTGATGATTGTTGTTTTCAGAGCCCTGCGTGACCAAGTCAGCGAATTGAGGCTAGCCTAGCCCGGCTGACAACTCACACAATCAAGCCCTACATAAGAGCGGTTCGGAAGGAGATGAAGTGAGTGCATGCGGCAATATCAAATAAGTGGTCATCGTACATTTGACCAATGATTACCGACTGCGAAACTTAATCAGGCCACAGATGCAAGCGGAAAGGATCTGGCAAACGTACATGTACACAAGCAGGTCAGAATAATCATGGCCAGTTGCCACGAATACGGCAACCTGGATTTCGTGACCGTCGCGGAGGAAAGACGGGGGACGACGTCCCCCGACCGTGGCGACGACAACTCCTTGAGCTCATACGACCCTTTCTCGTCGACAGGCGACTTTTCTGCGCCAGACGTGCGCTGCATGGACAACTCGTTTGCGATAGGAATGTCGAGCTGGGGGTGGGGGTTCCACTGGGGAACGAAAACGATACGGCTTCGGCCATCTTATCTGATTACAGAGGGTCCTCGACGGCACGTGCATGTCTGGCGCATGCCACGGTGGTGGGAATGGGTCCACGAAGCGGAAGACCAGCATGGCCGGCAGTGTGATAAAACTGCCTGGGGTGAAACCGCAGCCCCTGTTCTACAGAGAATTTTGAATAAGCTTGTGATCAGGCGCCTGTATACGCACCTTGTTTTGCCTCCATACGGCCCACGGCTGTCAAGAATAGATCGTGCCTGTTATCTTATCTGATATTTCTGATCATGCCGAAAGCGCCGTCTGCATGCGTCTCGCGGGAGACTGCGCTTTTGTGGCTAACGTCGACCCCATGTGCCTGAAAATCACTCCCGCTACAGGAAGCGAAGGGAGCAGCAGTTCAGAGTCTGAGCAAAATCAGCCGCAATGTGACAACCTCAGTAACAATACAACGCACGTGTTGAACGCCCAGGCGCGGACTTAGAGCGAGCCGCGTTTTCTAATGGAGAACAGTATTACTGCACACTTGGCAAGAGCATGAGGAGAATATGAGTCAGACGCACCAGAACGCGCCATGCACAACGTCTATTTGAATAGGTCAATAACATGTGCCGATGATCCAAGCCGGGGATCAACGCCACATATTACTGAACATACCCAAAATATAACGCACCAGCGGATAAAGACACCGTCTGGCGCGGGTCGGCTTGGTCAAGACATGTCTCAAAGGTCATAGAGAGAACATAGTATTTTGGACCTGTTTACGTTGGTACAAAGTTGAGTCAAGTATTCACGACTGGTACCTCTTATAAGTGACGAGCTTCACGTGTCCGTACTTTATCTGGTCGATGACTTCCGCGGCTTGTTTCACGGCTTTCTGCGTCTCCTCCAGCTCAGCTGCCGCGTGATGTATCTATGTCACGAGAAGAGCTCAGCTAGGCCTTGAACAGTACAATAAGGCGACTCACTTTGGGATCATCCCATCCGTACAACATTACGTACTCGTCCTTCTCCACGGCCTTGGCGAAACTACCGCCATGACAGCCCGTGACCTGAGGCAAGCTCGCCAAAGTCTTGACAGTTGCCTGCAGATCGTCGTTCGTCTTACCCGGCTTCGCCGAGATGATATGAGTAAAGGATGTGAATGGGGCATTAAGAACAGTCGCGAGGTCGCCGTCGAAGTAGACATGGAAGAGATTGATTGTGCTGACGTCCCCTGCCTTGGCGAACACCTCGACAAGCTTCGCGTAACGTTCCTTGTCGTTGATGAGGGCATTATGGTCCTCGAGCGTGGCCCAGGCTGACGAACTGAGTCATGTACGTTCATGAGTGCGACGTGAGAACGCTACACTCACGAACCAAGATCACTAGGATGCTGGGATCTTCGACTGCCGCACCGTGGTAAATGCTACAAATGGTCAACTTCCATTCTGTAATGGACCAAGGCCCACCACTCACCCCAAGCTGCCCTTCGACGCATCCACGATTTCCAACACCGGGTTCAAAGCGAAAGGGTCCTTGCGATAAGCTTCAGTAGTCTGCGCAAACAGAACTTCAAGAGCAGGGGCCATTATCGAGGGATGGGGGCGTGAAGTGCAAGCAAGTCCAGATTACCGCTGATATATATGCTTGCGATGGGAATGCAACGTATCACTGTCTGTATACGTAGGTGATCTCCGGCCATTGAGGGATACAGTAGCTGGATTATCAACGTGGGACTCGTAGCCTATGGCGCGGCTAAGCGGGGCCGTCTAGATGGGTATATGACCAGGTCGTGAGAATGACCGTGGGGTCACGGTTATCCGATAGATGGACTAGCGCAGATTTGGCCGACCATGGTTCCGTCGTGAGCGATGGAGTCTCTAGATTTCGGTTGAGTCTGAATCAGCCAAGAGGTGGTAGGATGGTAAGAAGCATAGCGAAGATCTAATGAAATATCCCACTGTCAGACTCCGCCATGGCTGGCGCTTGCCACTCGGACGGACTCTGACTCGGACGGACTGGGACGAAGCTTGAGTCAAAGTTTCATATCTTCTCTGGTGAATTGCCCAGTGTCTCAATCGAGTGGCGGGAGAAAACAACAAATTAGCCCATACAATTGTTTTGTGATACCTGCACATTACATGGTATTACTAAATCTAGCCAGATGTCGCCACAGCGACCAGCCCTGAGACGACGCCCCTTCCTTGAAATTAAATCTTTCAGAAATCTCCTTGAAAGTCATAGCATGGGGTGTATGGGATGCCGTCCCGTGCTGCATCGTAAGCAGCGCGACGCTTGGCGCACAGCGAGGATTCACATCCCCAGATGGTGAGCTCAACTTCTGTGTAAAGCAGTCAATCAGAATCTATCTAACGTCATGCATACACAAGCCTTGACGCACCTTGGTAGCACACATGCCTCCGGGTGATGTCATGAGTCCTGCAAAGTGTGTGTATCAGCATACAGGGAAGCAAAGTAGGCGAATGCTCACTGTGACCAACAGAGCGGGCACAGACCGGTGCAGCGACAGATTGGGGGTGGATAAGGTGCCTGGGTAGCGGGTCGAATAAACCTCGCATATGCCGTGCACGAGACACTTACGGGATAAGGTGGCTGAATGTGGTTCAATTGCACTCCAGATTTTCCTCCTGGGCAACAGTCTAGCCCCGTTGCGCAAGCTACGCTCTTCCCTAGGCGGATATCTATACGTGATTAAGCTTGATCGTATGTTCATCCTCAAAAAATGCAGGGGCCACTTACCAAGAAAAAGTAACGAGTTCGGAGAGTATTGTCGTCGCTGGCAAGATATGGTCAGCAGCGCGTCTGAAATAAGAGCAGGAAGGCATGCATCACGTTCGCCCAACACCAAGCACAGAGGGGCATACGTGGAAACCTCACAGGGAAGATCTCCTACGTCATAGGAATGCTGTGAGTGACTTGTATCTTTAAAATACCCTAGTGGATGTACCAGCTGTGCCGTGCTTCCAGCAGGCAGTGCGCTTCGATCTGTGCCGCGCCACGAACAAAATCGTGCTTCGCACTCGGACAGCTCCTTCACTGAGTGGTTATGAATCACTATAAATGTCGAGTGGTTTAATCAGGCTGGAACCTACCAAGGATGCAGTGGTCTCGTGCGATGTTGACGGCCATGCCACTATCCAAGAACTACTCAGGACTCCCGACAGTAGTGAATGGGGGCGGTCACATACTAAGTATAACACGTAGAGCACATCTTCGTTCGTTTTCCATCACAGGGAATGGTTTCCCCGATCTATTCACTTTGTGCTAAGCTTGGTCGTGGGCCACATACTAGGCGATGCGACGTACCCAAGCAGCGCTTAGTGTCTGCGATCTTTGAGCACAGGCAGCATTCCCGCAGAAGCCTTTAAAGAGCTCTCAGAAAGGAGGGCCTTCCGTCTCCGGCATGGCATACCTGCTTGACCCTGCTGTTGTTGTTGGCAATGCTCGTGAGCATAATCTTCATCGATCACGAGCCTTAGGCCATAAAAATCAGCACATCGTCAGAAGACGAAAGAGATGTACGAAGTCGATACACACATGTCAATCCAGCAAAGGTGACACAATTGGACTTTTCCTCGCGTGCTGCACTGCTCGTGCGCTGTAGTAGGCAGAAGTGTTGAAACAGCATCATCAAGCATACAGGTAACGTGCATACCTAACGGCCGGCTGGGGTCGTATGAAGGCGTGATGTTTGTATGTGACGACATGGTTAACTTGCAGAGACGTGGATGTGCGATCCGAATGTTATTTAGACGCGGGATTGAATGGCAGCCGCCCCGACTTATGTAGATGACGGCACTGGTGGCCTATGACAAGCCTTACGAAGTATTACGGGCTGCTCTAAGCTCACTATGGTCATTGACAAGCGAGTGAAAGGACGCTCACCTCAAGGCAAAGTCCCTATCGTAGAGCAGCCACTTTGTTGATGCTGTGGCCAAGTTTGGAATGCATTCATTAAGTCACCCGCTGTGCAACTCGTTACGTCTGATGAGCCGCTGCTTCAATCTGTCAGGTATTTGGACATCGGATGGGATGCGAAGAGTCGCAGCTGCGTCATGTGTGGTGTGAACAGCTGTTTGCCATGAAATTTGTTAGGACGTTTCTGTTTTCCACGCGGCGCAACAGAAAGGGTACAAAATAACTTGAACACGTTGTATGCAGTTTTCAACGTCAACTTCCGGCTGTTCCTAAACGGACAGGGCCGCGCCAAATTAATATTATGCCACGCTGTCATTGCAGAAGCAGGCTCAGTGGACTAATACGTCGACTGTCCGCCTTGTTCGTCAAGTTGCTAGCGATCGGGATCAGAGACAAACACATTATACAGTATCACGGCTGATATACCCACAAACTAAAAGTTCGGGACTACAATATGCTCTTCGAACGGGATCAACTGGTTCTTTGTGCGCACTGTATAATCGTATCCACGTCCCAACCTATGCAGCCGCAACACGGCAAATGCCGCCGCGATCCGCGATCAGTAAATCAGGCACAACCGTGTCGCCCGCCTCAAACTTTGGCCGTAGGCTACGTTCCCGACTTCTGCAAATGTTCGAACGTGACTCCAAGGCTCGTCAGGTAGGAAACAGCTCAACGATACTATATTGTATATTCCGCGTCTCAATTCTTATGTTTATACACTATTGGAAAAGCCTTATGGCATCGGACCTGTAAGTGCGCAAAAAACACGAATTTCAATCAATGTCTCACCCAGTGACGTATTGCTGGGTGTCCATATTGCTGTTCCTGACGTTTCCATACCCCGTAAGTGTTACCCTAATTCGCAGTGTTTCATTCTAAAAAATGTCAGATATTGGCGTTTGACAAGAGACTTATCCACAAAATAGGCTTCAAACGCACTGCCGTGTCCACGACCTCTCATTAATCCGGACCTATCTAGGCACGCTTCAGCTAACAATCCTTCCGTCTGTCGCCGTTACTATGAACATCGACATTCTAGCTCGGCGGAGAATGAAGGCCCATAAGGTGTCGCATTCCGACGAACTGCGTATCCAAGTGATACCCGCCCGAACCGCTTTCATCCCGTTTCTCCTTAAGCTTTGCTTGGCGTTCTTGGTCCTTCGAGCCCTTGTCCTGCTGGATTTCCATCAGCCAGATCCTCTTCTCCTTCTTTCCGAGGCCGTTCAAGATATCCCGGACTGAGCTAGATCTTCGTCGTCCTGTGGTGCTCTGGCCTCCGTCTAACGATATAAGCGGCCATCCTAGGAATTTTGAGGAGCCGAAGTATGGAGGCCCTAGACTAGGGTCCTAAACTGAAGGGTTCGTTTTATTTCTGGTTGTAGGTGCCGTTGCCCAGTGGCATGCGACTCAGGCATGCGGCGAGGTGGACGACCATGCAGCGCGTACTTGATGCTTCCGCCTCTTTCCAAGAAGTGTTCGACCGCAGGGTGGTCGTACTTACCGCTCCGTGCTCCGTGCGCTATCTCTTGTCGGAAAATGGAGACCCTATTAGATCGCTCAAAAGTTCGCGGATGGTGCGGAAGGCGGACCGGTGGCCGATGTCACAGAAGGGCTTGTAGACCCCAGATTGCAGGATGGTGACGGGGATAAACTGCAGTGGCGTGTCTTTGGGAAGGGCTGTGCTGTCTGGTGGTTGATTATTGGAGAGATTGTCCAGTTTGGGGAGCATGGTGGTGCATATGTCGTGAGCAGTTTCTACTTTCAAATATCAGCCACTCATGCCAGAAATCGTGTGTCTAGGGTGCACTCATCTCGTAATCTGAAGCGCATCTTCGGAGGCAGCCATCCTCAAGAGCATTTCTCGCAGGCACAGGCAGGTATCTTGTGCTGAATGTATGTCTTCGTGGTATTGCTTGACGCTCCATCCCGCAGATTATAGATGACGAACCGCGGGCTCTCTCGGAGCGAGCGAAGGTTGTACAACACTGGTGTCTCTTGCTGGTTGTCGGGGAGGTGTAGCCAGAGAGAATCATCTGCCGCAGATGCCAAGAGCCGCGAGGTCGAGCAACGTGTTGATGGCGGCGAGGTTCTGGGCCATAATGGCTACCGTAATCGGCCGCAGCCCGCTGTTATCCGGGCAACCTATAGAAGTGAGATCTGCGTCGTGAGGCTTTCGCAGGATATGTACGATGGCCTTGTAGCTGCAAGTCTGTCCTGAATCGCATGCTGAAGTGGATACTTGGACGCCAGCGCCGTACATGGGAGAGACATAAGGCTGATGTGCGCGGTTCTATGAATACAACGGGTGTCGTAGGCTGTCCTTTTGTCTCTGGTAGTGCTTGGGCTGACCTTCGCGGAGTAGTCAGTCTCAGAAGCACACTAAGTGGCGACGCCCATTCTGGATGCTCCGCTGCCTTTTTGAGTAACCAGCTGTCGGTTATTGGTTCACATTCCCAAGAAGTTTTTCATCTGGTGTCCACGTCTTGACATGGCCAGCATATCAAACCTTTATGGTACTCCGATTCGACTAGCCGAATTCTCCACCGCATCTGTGGCTGATGTGCGTATGATCAATCCTACCCGTTAACCAGAAATGCGTCTATCCTAGTAAACGTGTACGAATCGTATATGTATCGTAACCTAGAGTCACTAGTAGAGTATACGCGACCACGGCCAAAGGTTTGTCAATTCTCATTCTGTCGTTGTAGCCAAGCTCTGACCACCGTGCAAGGCCTGAAGACTTTCAAGGGTTTCTGCTCTAGTACCGTCTGTTCATGCAAGAGGCAGGCGCAGCCCTTCCGCCGGAGGTAGTCCACATGATCGTGACATGGGCGTCGCGCATTTATAACCCCGCCAAAAAGTTTGACAGGCGTGGCCTTGCGGCGTGCAGTGCGTTATGTCGGCACTGGGCCAAGATTATCCGTCCCACTCTATTCCACACTATCATCATACGATCTCATCTCGATTTGGTGGAACTACTCGCCTTGATGGATGCCACAGCTATCGTGCGACCACCGATTACCGACTGCATCCAAGACGTGATCGTCGAACATCGAGGGGCCCAATGCTGTCCGTGGCTTCACCGTATTTATCAAGTGTGGAAACGGCTCGTACGCCCGACAGTGGAGATCATATTAGAGAAGTCATGGATCACTGCACCGTCTCCCGAATATATGCCATCTCGAGAACTCAAGCCGAGCGCAGGGCTTGGTCTCCTCCCTGGCCAGGCGCTGCCAATAACCCTGCCAGGGTCGCTATACCCCTTCTTTCGCGTTGCTCTACATAGCCTCAAGCTAAGGAGAGTGGCGGACCTCGTTCGCTTCGTCCACCGTCTCCCCATGGTTTTGGAGTGCGACTTGCGGAATGTCACATTCGTCGAAGACTTGACGCTAAGCCCCTTGCGAACTTTGCGAATACGAGGACCACTCCGAGCCGTCACAGCATCGGATTGTGGAGACGGCACTTTGGAGGCACAAATTTTTCTGGCGTCCACTGTGCTCGCCGCCCGAGAACGCCTACACATGGATGATCCGACATGGTCTTCGTTGTTGCAAACGGTGCGGTATTCCGTGCCTCAATCTTGTTCTTCAGTGGCGATGGATATCAACGAGTCAGGTATGCTCCATATGAAGATATTAGAAGTTCGGCGCAGCTGACGTATTTTTTAGAGGATAAATTATTCATTCGTTCTGGCAAACTACCCGTTGGAGCGTTAGAGCAAAAAGATCCGTCTTGGGGCATAGTTATTGAAGTCTCTCGCCCAAAACACGCAGAGAAGAATCACGGCATGCAAGTTTATCTTACGCACAATCGCGTCTGGTCGGCTATCAAGTTGACCCTCCCACTCGTTTCTTTGAACGGGCACATATTCATCTTCCGACTTTCTGCGCGTTTCATTATGCAGACCGACATCTCCCCGTCAAGCTACCACGGCTATTACTCCCAAATGGCTCTCGGTGTTTATAGGCTTCTGTCACGCGGCGCTCTTGATCCCTGTTTGCCCAGTGGTCATGTTTCTCTCGTTGTATTTCGCAAGTTCGCAGGCATTAGTACCCACCAAAATCCTTACCAGGACAGACTTCCGAGTAGTCAGAATTCGGCTTCGTACGCTATCTCACTGCAGCCTAGGGCCGAATATCCTCAAACTTCAGTTGCTCAAGGCTTTGCCCAAAATGAGCGAACACCCTGAGATTCGCGCGCTCAGACGTAAAAAAAAACCTTGCCGACTCTACCTCTAGCCACATCGGCCATGAGAACGAGTGTCAACACCTCCGCGACGAGCTAAAGATCACACGCCAATCCTGTGCAGAGATCTCCGAGACGCAGAAGGTGCATCTCGCTGTCAAGAAGGAAATTGGAAAAGAGACTTTGGTGTATCAATGAGTTGGGAGGCGTACAAGGCGATACTATTAGTTGCGCCTGTGGTATTGGACGCTACTTGGGGCGGACTCCGTTGACAACGAAGGGGGTACTGATCCAGCTTAGGTTCTGCGCTTTGTTCCTGTCTCCATCTCGGGTATCGGAGTGAGCATAAACATATGTAACATTTGACTTAATTCATCATGCGTCTTGTGCTGCAATAGTTTTTAGAGTATGAACTACCGTCAAAGATGTACAAACTATGCAGTAAGCTGAAGCATAGGCTATTTATTAAGAATTTAGTCAGTGACCATTGGTGAGACATAGAGTAACCTACTGTGCTTGAGTCACCGGGTGACGATCGTCTCTGTCTTCACAAAAGTCTCCATATCTGTGCTCGCCATACCAGAGGCAACAGGTGTTTCCAGTTTCTGTTTGATCTCCTCTTCCTGTTCCGTGAGCTGCTCGAGCTCTTTCTCGCCGAGCTGCTCCAATAAGCGCTCCATTCGCCTATAGTCGAGTCGTAGCTCAGCAATCTCGGCCCTAAGCTTCTGATTATCTACGCGGAGATTCTCCTCCTCTGCCGCGCGCCGTCTTATCTCGTCTCCGTTCGTCTTTATGTCTTTTGCGACGAGAATCGCATTGAGGCCCGTGAGCTGCTCGACTTCTCCCTGCAGCGCGCGCACGCGTTCCTCATACGTGCCGCGCACCATCGCGAGGCCATCGCGCAGGCGCCCCTCCGCAAGCTGCGCGCGCTCGAGGAGCTCGCTGTTCTCCTTAGCAACCTCGCTCGCGTGCGCAGACGCCTTGTTGTACAACTCGCGGAAGAGCTCACGGTCCTTCTCTGCATCGAGGCGCCGGCGCTGCAACTCCTCATTAGTAATGCGCAGCTGCTGCAGCGCGACCTCCCAGTCGGTGGGGGCCGGTACAGGCTCGGGAACGCCGTTCATGATTGACTAGAGCGAGTGCAACGATCTAGGCGAACTTAAAAGAAGAGGAGAGATTGAGCAATGCAGCGTAACGTTAGCTGATGCTGTAGAGCTTACTTTGTTGAGTAAATTAGGTGTCCTTTGTTTTAGGTCGCGGGAGCGGCACGGGTCACCTGCGAGCTTGATCGTCGCACACTACGGCGGAGGACACGAAGAGCACAACAGCGCTTGATTGGCGCTTGCGCCACAACGCTTCTACCAGGCGTCTAATGCCATCAGATCCAAGCTCTTTTCTGCTGGCAACAGTGTCCCAGTTCAGTCGGCAAAATATACGGGGAGAGGCTTTTTGAATATTAATCTGGCTTACGTCTGTTTTCTGTAGCGGCAGAACGGGCTTCAAGTTGGCGGATGCCAGCAGCCACGTCGCCCGCTCGGGGTTAGCTGTTATGACAGAGGTTTCTTTGCAAGCCTGAAGCTTGTCTGATCGCTTTATCCGCAGATGAGGTTAGAGCAGAATAAAGAAACGTGAATTTACGAAAGAGCTGAAAGCTGGGGTGCTACTGTACATGCGCGGGGTATTTATACTACTGCTCAGCCTTACCTAAGGACTAGTCTACTAGTCAAAGGGACTGCGGGTGAGTCAGTGAAGCTGCGCTCTATGAGTCGACGAAGGCAGTACTACTAAACTAGAGTCAGAGACGAAAAAGGAAATGATATCCCACGCCACCATGCCCATCATAACATTACCCCCTAATCTACCTTCGAGCAGCGATCGAAGTTAGTTAAGGGCCCAGATCTCCTCCTGAACCTTCGCGACTGCCTCCTCGAGAGCCTTCTTGATGACTATGAGTGGCTTCGACTGCCTGTTGCGACAGCGGCGTTTGCGCTTGAGCTGCCTCTTTGAAACCTTCGCAGGAGTTGTCCAATCCGAGAGAGCGCTCGGGGACGTCCATCCGGGATCGTAATGATCGAGGGATTTGTGTTGGGTGGAGAAGCGGACCGACTTCTTGGTGGCGATGTGGCTGTTGGACTCATACGATGGGGGAGACGGCATGCTCGTCGAAGGGGATGGTTGGTCCCGAAAGGACCGAAAGGACTGGTTGGACGCGAGAAAGGACTGGCTGGACAACGAAGATGTGATGCGTTCTGAGAGCGGTCGAGAGTGAGTTGGCGTGGGGTTGGGCATGGGTTCGAAGTCGTTAAATAAGTAGGCGAAGTGAATGGATGGCCCGAATTGATAGCGATGAGCGGTGTTGACGATGCGTGCTGCCGATGGGTGTGTTTCCGAGTAATTGGCAAAGTCCCTCCACGCTTCTAAGTGCTCTATGTCCGTCCTCCCGATTTGCGTTCTGAGTTTTGCGAGTCCTTCGTCATCGATGTGTACCAGGTTCGCAGCGTCGCGATGAGTGTTCGTGAAGTGTTCGTTGAGCGCGTGGAAGCTCGCGACAGTCCTTGCAAATATCTTCGTGGAATTGTCCTCTTCCTGGGCAAGTTGCGAGAGGAGTTCGACGGCGCTGTAGTCGTTGCGGATTTTGGTGAGTCGCTGGAGGTAAGTGGTCTCGCGGTATTTTCATTTGGTTTCTTCTGCGCTAGCGTTGCTCCAGTTCCAGTGGGACTCTGAGTGTTTATCGACTGGGATGGTGCTTTCATGGGAGACTGGAGTGAGTGCGCGGGATTGGGCGATTTCGGGGACGTGGTAGGAGTCGCTTTCCGAGACATCGGCATCGTAGGTGTACTGGGCGTCGGGGAGATTGATGGAGGAAGGGCTCCGGATGCGGATCTGAGAGGTGGACTCGGTGAGAGTGGAGACGGGGACGCGCTCGTAGACGGTGGCGAGAGTGGAAGACATTGTGTAGTAGCGGAGCGAGGCTGGTTTGGAGACTTAGAACTGGTTGTAGCTGCGACTGGAGTTGTCTTGGCTGGAGAGCCAATAGGCAGATTGTACCTCCTTTTATACGCGTTCAGAATATCTTGGGCATTCTTTAGATGAGACTCGGGTTCCCAAGAGTTCTCTGCTTGTGGCTGTTCTTTCCACTTGACGAGATATTGGACATAGCCATAGGATGTCTTGTGATTGAGTATCGCCTCAACTTCATGCTCTTCATGGCCGTCGATGATCTCTGGAGGCTGTTCTATGAAATTGGGGCCGTGCTGCTCGGTTTCATGATACGGGGTGAGAAGCGAGGCGTGGAAGACATCATGAAGTTTTCGCTGCCCTCGAAGATTGAGTTTGTATACCAAAGGTCCTAGAACCTCTTTGATTCTGAATGGTCCCTGACGTTTGGGTGCGAGTTTCTTGAAGGGATAACCATCTTGGAAGTTTGTCATCTCAAGCCAAACTTTCTGGCCTTTCTGGAACGGTGAAAACTTCCTGTAAGTTCTTGAGGCCATGCGATGCTGTGCTTGGTCTAAGGCAGCGTGGGCCTCTTCGTGTGCGCGGGTTTGTTCTAGAAGCCATTGTTGTATGGATGGAACCTTAGTCTTGGGAAAGGCTGTGGGGATGATCCTTGGGTGTGAACCATACATGAGATAGAATGGCGAATGCTTTGTGGCGCTGTGTTCTCAATTGTTGAACACCACTTCCATATCGGGAAGAAGCTGTGCCCAGCTGTGCGGATTGTTCTGGCAGAAAATTCTGATGTACGCTTCTACCTCTTGATTGGCTCGTTCCGTTTGACCGTTGGTCTGAGGATGGTATGCGGTGCTCATTCGTCCTTGTACTCCGGTTAGCTTCCACAATTCTCTCATGACTTGGGAGTCGAATTGCGGACCCCGGTCCGTGAGAAAGACATCTGGTAGTCCAAATCTTCGGTAGACATATTGATGGTAGAGTTTGGCTGTGCCTAGCGCGTCTATCTTCTCCGTGCAAGGGCAAAGAATTACCCCCTTTGTAGAATCATGGTCTACCACGACCATTTGAGCATTATATCCGTGAGACGCCAGGAGGTGTGTGATGAAGTCGCAGGTTGTGAACGCAAATGGTCGGTCCCGTCGAGTAGATTTGATCGGTTGGAGAGGTGGAATAGTTGGCT